AACTATAAATATCACCCTCCCTTGTAAATTCATTTCCTCTTAATACCTCAGGCGGAATATATGGAATTGATCCATAAGTTTCGTTATTTTTGGGATTATAATTTAAAATTAAATCATTTTCTAATTTACATAAACCTAAATCTATTTCAAAGTATAAATCTTCATTATAGGTTATAAAAATATTTCCACTACGAAGGTCACAATGAACTAGATTTTTTGAATGTAAGCTTTCGAGATCCTCTGCTATTGATGCTAATATGTTTGTTTTTGTTTGCCATTCTAAATCCCAAAAAGTTTTGGTCAAATAATTATGAAAGTCATCGTGAAATAAATCCGCAACAAAAATGTAGTTTTGTGTAAAAGGATTTTTTGAAAACCCATAATACATAGCAATAAATCCATTATAGTTAATATTCTTTATCTTAATATTAAAATATTAAAAGACGAATTAATTAATTTCAAATTATTAATAACTTATATTCTAAATAAAGAAACATACCACTTTAAGAAATTCAGTTGTATATCTAGAATCTTTCATTTCTTTCAAAGCAACTTTGACGCCTATTATATCATATTCCCAATCCTGTTTGATAAAATTCCATCTATCTTTTATTCCATTTTCTATTTTGGCAGAATACACTGATCCATGACCTCCATCTGCTATATGTTTGATTCTCTGAAATTTATCATAAGGTATCCAATGCAACTTTTCATAAACAGAATTTATTTGAGAATCTTGTATAATCTTATCAATGTCAGAATTTCCACTAGACCAAGTTTTAAACTCTTGGATAAAATGTTCTTTAGTACACAAATCACATCTTCCGTTTTCATAAATCAAATTTTGGAAATCAGAAAAAACGAAATCCTGATCAGAATGACCTTCTGGGCAACACTTTAGCATTTTTGTTCCTTGAGACATGGAAAATGAAAAGAATATTCGTTATTAAATATTTTTAATTTTTTTTTTTTTATTTATTTTCCATTGTCTTTTCTGATCTTATTTGTGCCACGTTAAATTACTTTCCGATCATATGATGTGTAACACGTTAAAACAAACTAATAAATAGTGCAACACGTAAAACAATCCAATCCAATATATTTACTGCATTAATAAAAAATATTAATAAATATTCATATTTATTTTTAGTTAAATATTCCTTTACTATAATTAATATTATAATAGCTCATAATATATTAAATCCACCCATCTATTTTTATATAAGGAATACTCATTGCTCTTATATATTCATATTAGTATTATATGAATATAATAAATGATTCGAAATATTCTATTACATATTAATATTTTTTATATTCACATCCGATACAAATAAAAACGTGCCATTATTTTTACAGTTTTATTTCCCATTCTTTACAGTATTTACCTCTTTATATTTGATTAGTTATAATTTGAATTTTTTTTTTTTAATCTAACATAAAATAAATTCACTAAAAAAAAGTAACCATTCAGAAAATTAAACAAAGTAATAAAGAAAGTATATAAATAACGTAGAGTTGAATTCATCATCCAGTTAAAAATTTAATAACTACATAAACACGATTATTTTATTCAATAATCATATCTTATAATATCGCCCCATTTTTTTATTATTTTTATTTAAAAACTAGTTTTAGATTTTGTTATAAGTAAATTGCTGAAAGAAAAAGTTTGCTATAATAAAAACTTATCTTTCTTAGAGAGAAAAAATATTCTTATTTATTTTCTTCATACGTTAAATAACTTAAAAAAAAAGTAGAACAACTTACCTTGAAGGTAAAGGTACTAATTGTATTTTTCTCTTGTCGCCTAACACAAACATTGACATCCTATATTCCTTTAACAATATAAAATTTTCCTATTTTTTCACAAATTTTCATTTTTAAAAAATTTATCTCAAGAATTGTTGCGTTCAAACAGACACCTAATAAAAAAATAATAATTGTAAAAAATAAATAAAATACATATATGTGCTTCGCGTGGTATATGACACATAGTAAAATCAAAGAAATTGTATCTCGTTAAAGATTAAGAATAATTCAGAGTAATAGTAAAAAAAATTGAATCAACAAAATCATTTTATAAATGTATTGAAGCATGCTAAATTCGAACCTTAATAATATGTGCACGAGAAAATAGTTTTAAGATAAATAAATTAAATAAGTTTCCTTTAATAATAAATGAGCCAGAAAATCAACTCCCATGATAAAAATTAAATAACAATAAACTCAAAAATTAAATAAGATAATATTAATATATGATAATTTTTTTTTCTTTTTTTAAACTTTCTAATATATAAAAATGATATATAAAATAAAGCATTATTATCCCCTTTATCTATACTAATGTTTTCTTTAAATTTTTGTGAATCAAATTTATCCAAAGTCGAAATATAAGAGAATGATTAATTTTTTTTGTTGACTTTGAAGTGCTATAAGAATTAAACTTAAAATGATTCATTGCCTTAATAAATTAGGATCTATAAATATAAAAAATTTAAAATTTTAAGTTTTTTGTAATTGATCATTTAAAACCCAGTCTAATTTATCTTAGCGACGAGTCATTTGTTTATTGAAGAATATACCTGAAGATTTTCCAGATTTTATTTCTTCCAATAAATCATGCAATCCATGAAGAGTATGAATATATCGGCCAATATAATATGATTGAGGATGCAACTTACTTGAATATGAAAAGAATTCAAGCAATTCTTGCTTTTGAGATTTTGATGTATTTTTTTGATTTTCATCAGCAATTTTAAGTTGTCGCATAACATCATTATCCACTGTATTATTATATAGTTTTCTTGATACGTCCCAAAATAACAAAATTAATATATCAAGTTTAAATACCATTCTGGAATCCAATTTAACATAAAATCAGGAATCTTTGGTCTTACGCCATTACATATATCAATCATCAAATAAGTATCATGTGCTTGATCAGAAAATGGTTGCTGTGTAGTAATTATGTCATACATAATTCCACCGAAACTATAAATATTACCCTCTCTTGTAAATTTATTTCTTTTTAATACCTCAGGTGGAATATATGGAATTGATTGTCTTATTTTTGAAGAAAGACGTTTAAAATTAAATCATCTTCTAATTTACATGAACTTAAATCTATTTCTATGTTAGAATCGCTAAGATCGAGATAATTTTTCATCGAAATATTTTCACTATGAAGTTCATAATGAATTAAATTTATTTCATGTAAGTTTCTAAGACCCATGCTATTGATATTAATATGTCTATTTTTGTTTGCCACTCTAAATCCCAAAAAGTTTTGGTTAAAAAATCACGTAAGTCATCATTAAATAAATGCATAAAAATAATATAGTTTTGCGTAGAAGGATTCTTTGAAATTCCATAATATTTAGCAATAAATTCGTAATTATTAACGATCTTTACCTTAATATGAAATATTAAAAGACAAATTAATAAATTACAAAATATCAATAATAACTTATATTCAAATAAGTAGGAACATACCACTCAAAAAAATTCAGCTACATCATATTTAGAATCTTTAATTTCTTTCAAAGCGACTTTGAAGCCTATTAAACTATATTTCCAATTCTGTTTAATGAAATTCCAATCCCCTTTTATTCTAATTTCTAATTTGGCCGAATGAACAGATCCATGACCACCATCGTGTTATTTTGAAAATTATTATAAGTATCCAACGGAACTTATCATATTTTTAGTTTATTTGAGATTTTGTGTAATCTCATCAATGTTAGCATTCACACTAGACCAAACTTCAAATTCTTGGATTGGATAAAACGTTCTTGGTACATAAATCACAAATTCCATCCGAACGAATGAAATTCTGGTAATCAGAATTAGCGAAATACTCAGAAGAATGACCTTTTGAACAATACTTTATTTTTCTTGATTCTTTTTATTTTAAATATTTACATTCATCATTTTTTAGATACAAAACAATGGAAGTTGAAGTTCCTAATGTTATAAGTGAGTATCATATTTCATGAATTATTTGTTTCTCCTGAACTGAATTCTTGTTATTTAATAAAAATTATTGTTAGATATTACATTATTCTATATTTTATTTCATAATTTTTATTCTTATATTTCATTCTTATACTTTAGCTTCGAAACAATAATAATTATTATAAAAGAATTAAATATTTGAGGAAAAAAATCATATAAACAAAAAATAAAGATAACAATAATGTATTATTTTTTTAATTTAATTATTACAAATAAATGATTTAAATTTTTCACATCATTACTATTCTATATATATATATAGTTTCATCAATCATAATGTCAATATTTTTAGTAATTAAATTATAAAATTAATTAAAACTTCTATTACTTAATAAATATATTATAAACTTCATAAATATTATTAATATGATATACTATTCTGAGAAGGTGAAAACGTAAGAACATATTAAGTTAAACTAAGCTCTGATTTTATATCGTTATATAATAAAAACTTTATTATTCATTTATTATCAATAAACCATTGATTTTGTTTATTTAAAAATTATAGTGATCTAATTTACTATTTAAATTTAACAATTTTATTTTATTTTATTTTATATGAAAAATTCTATGTAATAAAAAAATAAATTATGAAAAATTTCCAATTATAAGAGTAGAAAATTAAAGATAAAGAATTGATAAAATACGTTTATTTTTGAGTTTATGGAGAAAGAAAGAAATTGTTAGATTCAATTTTGGCTTATCCATCCTTCACAATCAAGTTACGTTCCCATTCTAAAGTTAATTATCCATCATTCATTTATGAATATGGAAAAATTTTAAAAACCATGCATTACCTTCGAAATCATAGATATACAGTATATATATTAAATTGTTATTTTTCTTTTTATTTTTCTGATACGTTTATCTTTTTATTTTTTTTTTCCAATCGTCTGAAATCTAACCAAATATTATTATTTTTATTTTTTACTTTCTCGACTTTTTCACAATTGTAAAATTGATTCATCACTTAAAATAACATCAATTTTTATTTAAACTCAATAGAGAAGCTTTAAGAACAAATTCCAATTTTTCCCAAATTACCAAAGGAGAAAATAGTTGGTGCGAAATCACGCAGGTTACTTTTAAGTTCCGCTCGGTGTATGCAGTTTACCTTTTCCTTTGGTATACAGCTTCAGTATAATATTGATGATTTTTTTTTCGTGATATGGGTAATTTTCGAACGTGAAGTTGTTATTGTATCATACATCTCCGCCGATAATTAATATAATTACATTATTTTAATACATTTATTTTAATCAATTATTTTATTTTTAAGATCATCAAATGAATTACTTGTAGCATAAAACTAATTCTCCATCAATTGTTTAAAAATATTTAAAGGTAAGGTAACATAGATTATTTACTACAGATCGTCCTGGTACTTTTATAAGGGAACTGTAAATATAGAAAAAAAGACAAGATAATTGTTGGTTTCAAATTTATACTGTCAAGAATTGATTTTGAACTATTGCGGAAATCTTGATGTGAATATGTTTGACAGCTTGGGCGACACCTAAGATAACTGACCCAATGAAGATAAAGTCAGGAATCATTTCTGAAACGTTGATTAAGGTCACTTATGAATAAATGATGCGATTAGATATAGTTAATTGCAGAGAAAGATGTGCCTCTTATGAAGCAGAATAATATTCCAAAAACAAACCCTGTTACGATGCTTTTTCTTCGTAAAAATATATCACTTCAGAGTAATTACAATTCGTCATAATACTTAAAGTTACAAAAAGCAAATTCAAAAACACCTATTATGTAAATTATTTTGTTTCAGACCTACGTTAATGGCCTCATTTATTTAGAAAAAACGCTTCAAAAATTTTAAAATTGTAATGATTTACAGGAGCCTTATAATCTTGCCATATTATGTTTCCGAAATTTCAATCGGTACATCATTTTTTCTATCTTTCACTGATAAATTACTTATCACATCATCTGGAATTGCTCCGGAACGTTTATTTTGATAGTTGACGATGTCTTCGAATTTTGGACATTGAAATGAACTTAAAATATCGAGTTCCTTTTTAATATCACTATATTAAATCAAATTACTTTTTAATATTTATATTATTCAAATTCTGTTGTTCTAATAACTCAAATTCATTATGCTTACCTGCAAGATTGATCCAAGTCTAAATCATTAAGATCATATCCAAAAGGATTTTCGATCTCTGAACCAATTCGATGAGCGCAAAACAAAATAAAGGCCATAAAAAAGATCAAAGGAATTGAAACCCATCCTGAATTTGCGACCAATTGAAAAGGTAAAGCCAAGCAATAAATCCATACTGTTTGGGAAATAAAAATGGAATACGACAAAGGTTGGGCGTTTTTCGTAACTTTTTCAATATTTGTAAAACAATCAATTATTTTGACTAAATTATCGTTTAAGACACTGATTATATTTTCATCAGCTTTTTTACGATTTGCTATTTTTTTAAAATAATTAGATAAATATAAGGAAATGCTCATAAAAGTGGTATAATCACTAGGTGGTTCTCTTTCATATCCATGTCGGATTTCGTTCATAGGTTGTTCTATTTTCATAGTACTTGGAATTAAGTCTACAATGTCTACGTAATGAGTACCCATCTCCTCACGAACGTGATGCTTCATAGCCACAGCAAAAGCGAGTAGAAGCTTTAAAGCTGTCTTTTTTTCAAGTATATCATTTTCGTCATTTTCATCTACATTTACCCAAACAATAAGGGTACTCATACAACGGATAGAAGCCATCAATGACGTCCATTGGTTAAACCCTTCCCCATACCTGTATTATAATTTATCACTTTTTTCTTGTTACCCAATTTATGCATTATTATTCATATTAATGAGAATATTTGAAAAAACTTTACTTTTCGTATGCAGCGGTAACTCTATAGGCAAGTAGAAAACTTAACACGAGACCAATCACATTAATGAAATCTGAATCAATACTAAGCTTGATGTTAGTTAATTCATAAAGAATAGTTATAACTGCGGCTATTACAGTAACTAAGAGAGCATTAGGAAGAGCTGCTGGAATTGCTGAACCCTTCCATCGGAAGAAATATTGATGAGAGTACATGACTTTAACAAACGAAAAATAAAATTCGGCTTTCGCGGTTAAAAATTTTGGAAAGTTGTGAATACCTGTGTTGGCGTAAAAGTGTAACAATTTACGATATGCATATCCGTTCCGTTATATTTATCACGCGAATTATTTATTTGCTGACTAGTGTTGTGTCACCTGCAGATTTTAAAAAATGTAACGACCTAAAAAAATTAGTTTTTTTTTATATATAGTTCGAAGAGGGTTTTGTAATCAAGTAATACCGTTTCATTAAACTGCAGTGCACGCCACTTAAAACTGAAATCATGTAATTTGTCCCATTTTTCAAGCCAAAAATCAAACTGAATCTAAATGAACCAATAAATTGATTTATGCATACTTTACGGCGAATCGTATGACTTCTGGATTTGATCATTACTTTTATTCGCCGAGAGGCAAAGACTTCGTTTTTTATAGATCTATTGTTATTTTTTTTGATATATCAAATTTTCACATGACAAAATAGTTATCTTTTTGATGTATCTCATATCAAAAAAAATAACCACTTTTTCACGCGTATCCTATATATCAAAAAAAATAACCATAAGTCTATCAAAAATGAAACTTTGGCCGCCGAGAGAAAATTATAAAACGTGATATCTCAATTAATCAATTAAAATTAATGTATGTGATTTTTAGATCATGTTTTTGTCCCACTAGATATTGATCATATAAAAATAGTGCTTATTTTTAAAAAGAGGCTGACAATTTATAGTAAATTAACTTATTCAAAATGCAGTTTCCTTTTTGTATTACCTCTGTATCACATTCTATAACCTTTTCAAATTTATTAGTCTTTAAGTGGCATGCATTGTAGTATCGATTGTGCTAATTTTGGAACAAGTTAATGCCAAAGTTTCGAAGGGTTTGTTTTTTAAACTCTAGTAGCTTCTTTCAATAATTTCAACAAGAAAGAAATACTTCATTTTCATGTAATATATTTATTGGAGCTTTTTTTAAGGAAAATCGTTCCTTTTGTAAAAAAAAGGAAATGATTTTCTTATTTCGAAACCTAAAAAACTTTATTTGAATAATTAATAAAAAAATAATATTTTTTTTTTTTATTTTAGAAATTTATTTTATTTTTTTAATGAGTTTAAATATACAAATCTACAATTGTTTTTTATGGAAATATACTCTGAATCTCAAGAAATAAATTATTGATAATCAATTTCAAGTTATCATTAAACCAAATGCTTAAGAAAACTACAATTAAATCTGTCAGGGTTATACATCATCAGGAAATTTAATTAGGCGTAAATTTACGGAAATATCACATGACCTCCGGAAATTTACGCCTGAAAATTTTAATTTTTTAACTTCGGCCGAGATTCAGGTGACAGGGAGCGATTTTCCACTAAGATATTTCTAAGATAGATCGAAAGCCCTGGTTTTTGGCTATTACTATAGTATCGATATTCGCGGAGAAATTCACGTTTGAATTTAAACGTGAATTTCTCCGCGAATATCGATGCTATAGTAATGAAACACATATCATCTTGTAGCCAAA